AATTCAAGTCAATCTGATAATACTTGTCAGCCATATTGTTAAGAAGTAGGAAACTGAAAGAGGTAGTCACCATTGTAATGGTTTTTCTTAGTTTGCCACTGTAGGTTTGCAATAGTTTAGAGCAAATGTCCTAACTCTTCTAATATTCAACTTCATTCTCATTTTCTTATGCTGGATGTCACATTGGACCTTCATGTGAGCAAGCTGTGTGCTAGGGAAAGTAGCTTGACACTTACTTCCCTAAATATAAATATTTAGTCAGGAACTATTGATGCTGAAAATGGAGCTTAGATTAATACACCCTTAAAACATCTGTCTGCCAGGCCCTCATGCCCCAAATTTGTTCAATCACAGTCTAGATGTCAGGAGTTTGATCCATCTGCATCAGAGGACTGAATTTATATTCACTCATTGCTTATTTTCAACATCTTTGGTCAGATGCAGGGCATTGTGAAAAATTGTGAAGCTCCCTTTGTCAGCATCTTGTTGCCAACTCGTCATGATGGCAGAATAACACTACTAGTCTGTCTTCAAAAAGGCTGGTGATATAAAACAGAACAAGATACATTTAACAAAGTCATCAAATCTCATTAAAGACATCTAGCAAAATTAAATCCTGCGCATCCGCACACATTTTCCCAATGACATTCATTTCCATCATAACTAAAGGGGAAGAAAAACACACATATATTCTTTTTGATAAACATTTCTCACAGATAAATTAATTTAAATTAGTTTAAGACTTAATGAGATCTTTCCACTTTATACTTTTTCATACAAAAGTCACCAGGTCTATAACACTTTTATGGATCTCTATCCACAAAATTACATAAAGAAAGTAACTTTGGGGTAGTACTAAGACAAAGTAAGATCTTTTTAACCGAGTAGCCTGTATTTAGCAAAAGAATCACATCCTTATAGAGCTAATTGTACAATCAAATAGCACCTAAGTAATTGTTCTCTTATCTTTTTCCCTCTGAGATATATTTTTAAAGTTGCTAGTCAAGTGTGCACAGCTCCTACTGATTTCACTATATGAGACCAGTTGTGGAGCACAAGGGCCTCAATTCTAGGGCAAGGAGACATAGAAAACACTTGTGCAAGTGAGAGTCCCATTGCAATTAATATGACTGACTTGCTGTTTCAAGTTTTGGCTTAGTCACATTAGAAAGTTCAAAAAGTTTCAGAAAACTCAATGCCAACAAGAGTTCAGGATGCTGTTGAAAGCGACAATGATTCCTAAACAAGGCAATTTAAAATCAAATATTTTAATTTTGCAGTAAAATTGTAAATCTTAAAAGCTTTAAAGGTTTTGGCATCTATCGTTCAAACATGAATTGTGCTCATGTATTTTTGTTTTTTTCTTAGCCACTTATAACTTTTACAGAGGTAAGTGTTGTTCTACTCAGCTATTATGTCTTTATACTGGGGGCTAAAAAGCGCAAACTGGATTTGTACACATCCTGTTAGCATTTGTTTAGTAATGCCCACAATGGGTGGAGCCAAATACTTAACGCTTTGCACATGTGCTTTGAGGGTGGACAAGTTAAAGAACAAAACAAATGCCTTAAAGCTTGCAGGTCCTTAAACCAAAGCTTGGTAAAGCCAACTGAAGTTATACCTTGTGTGGTTACACCTGAGAGGAGAAAGTAGGGTAGTATTCCCAGCATCTTGGGAATTTTGGCCTTTGGCTGTAACCTTCACCATAACTCTGAGGGCAAAGAGGTAGGAGGAGAGGCTCTTGGGCATTCTCATTGCCCATCTATCTCTACCTTGATGGGAGGCCTCTGTGCACAGATCATGCTTCCCTGTTCACAGGGTGGGAAGGCCAGGAATGGTTGCAGTTGGGGCATCAGTCTACTCTTGCAGTCAATGGAACGGCAACTGTCAGTTATTAACTCAGTCTCCTTGTTTGGACATCATATGAGACTGCAGTCTAATTGCCATTCACCTGTTGGAAATGGATCTTGTTTTACAAGCTATGTTTAAACCTGGTTCAGATGTCAATGGGAAGAATGATTTAACAAATCATACTTATCTTTCCTTGTATCTGGGTCTGCAGACAGAGGTGAGGAGCGGAATGAGGGAGCCATGTTGAAGCTCTTTCTGCTCTGAGATTGCCTGATTTGGGCCATGGGATTATTTAGTCCAGACAAAAGCCTAGGGCTGGACAGCCTATTCTTGCTGGATTCCAAAGCAATGAAACCTAGGAGTGCATTACTTTGGAACAATATAGTTTTTCCATGTCCCTTACAAACTGGCAAACATACTGAAATGGGATAAATATGAGAAAAACATAGTATCACTCTCGCTAGGAGTCTGCTAGTTGATTACATAACTGCTTATTATTTACTTTCGGCAGATAATTATACCTTACAACAGAAAGCAAGAAAAAAAACTAACAATTCTCTTGCCATCCAGGAATAATGAGTTAATTAGTTAATTCCCATATGTTGGTTCTTTCTTAGAGGGGAAGAAAATTCCTACTGGTATTATCAACAGCACCTTTCTCTGTCAACCAGGTAGAAAAAGTTAAATTTCAAGAGAGACTCTCACATCATTTCAAACAGCTGCATCGTTTTCAAAACTAAATATCATTGTAATATATGTTGCACAAGCATTTTTTTTTTAAAGTAGAGGTATGTACCATAGAATCAAAAGCCACATTTAAGGCCAGAGCAACACACAGGTATTGCTTCTGTGGTAAGTATGAGGTAGTTGTTTGCTGTAAACAGAAATAACTATATTCTTTCCTATATTAACAATGTAGCATAGAAATTCAGGAATGGGGAGACATTGCCCTGCCCACAGCCCTGAAAATCAGCCATGCTTATGATGTCAAGTTATATGTGTTCACTTCAATACATGGGAAATATCATGCAAAAAGTTGATATCTTGAGTCATAAGAAACTCATTAGTAAACAGAGGTAGTTACAATCATTAGCACATAACATGTATATAATAGCACGGTACATAGCAGTATCAAAGCATTTTTGGTTTGTTCTGAACAAGCAAGCAATCTGTAAAAGAAAAGAAAAATAATAATTACATGCCATTTTCCCTGAGCAAGGTTCTTTGTCCTGAGAAGGATATTTTGCAATAGTGACCATCCTCCAATATACAAAAATAAAATGTAAACTTTTAATAGGTCTGCTAGGCTCTCTTAGCAATTCAGTCTGTGGCTGCTGGAATTACTTATTTCACTCAAAAAAAAAAAAAAAAAAAGTCTGGAATTTTAAAGTAGCTAAACAGAGAATGGCCAGTTTTCAAATCCACCATTTCCATATTGCTCTCTAAATAAAGGTCAGCAAATTTTGCTTTATATTTTCAAAGTGACCTTACCCTTGACATTGTTGCTGTTTTATAACCCAGTTATTATATCTACTAAAAGATTAGGCCATGGCCCCTTCGATTTGTCTACATAACTTAAATAAGTTTACAATCCTTGCATAAGGCAAGGAAGTAGTTCTCTATACATACATCACATTCAGTATCGTCAAAATAAAAACAAAATAAAACCCAAAAAACCAAAACACCCCACTTTGCATTAAAGTTCAATGAAAACTTCAGTATAAACCACCAAGATTCTTCTTTCCTTCCAGCACTGCCGTGGATTTGAAGCAAATTTTCATCGTTAGAATTGGGCCTACCTTTAGGCTACTGAAGCATTTTCCTGAAGGAAGGTGAGGTAGCGGTGACAGCAGTACGAGCAACAGTATCCAGAGAGGACTTTTTCTGCAGATAATAAGGTCCTCTCAGATAGATCAGAGCCTACCAAAAACAAGCCCTGATGTTCTCAATGACTTAACCTGGGTGTGTCCAATCCATGGCTCACAGGACACATGCAGCCCTGGACAGCTAATCATGTGGCCCCACAAAATTGTAAACTTTTAACATTATTATGTGATTTATATTAATCAAGGAGAGAAGCACCCTAGAACTAAGGAGAAACTTCCTGACAGTGAGAACAATTAATCAGTGGAACAGCCTGCCTCCAGAAGCAGTAAATGCTCCAACACTGGAAGTTTTTAAGAAGAGACTGGACAGCCATATGTCCGAAATGGTGTAGGGTTTCCTGCCTGAGCAGGGGGTTGGACTAGATGACCTCCAAGGTCCCTTCCAACTTTACTACTACTATTATTATTATATTCATTAACTAAGCTATATATTTATATGGGGCCAAAAACAATTTCTCTTCACTCAATGCAGCCCAGGCAAGCCAAAATGTTGGACACCCATGACTTAACTGAGGAAAGTCTGAAGATTTGGTTCAAACTATGTTATAAAATCGGATCTTCTTTACTTATATTTGCTTTTATATTAGTTTGCCAAATAAATGGGGAAAAATATTTCTTCAAGAGTCATTTTAAAAGGAAGAAGCAATGGTCCATAGGACTTAATTAATATCCAGCTCATATGTCTTTGAAGGTTATCAACAGCAGCTGTTGTTCCTTTAGGAGATGAACAGTCCTGGAACTGCATATAGTGGTTTTAGCCATGCTTAAATGATGTTCTGGGTTTGTAAGCCTCATAATAAATCAAATGTTTTTATCCCACTCAAATATATTAGGATGACTCATAATAAATGTGCACAATGCTTATCTCCCCAAAACTGGTGAAATGGTTTAGAAATTGATTCTAGCTCATTCTTGGGAGAATGGAAAAAATGTGACAGTTTGATCCTGATCAAATAATATTGTAATGGATGCCCCAGAAGCCACTTTGGACAACAAGGAAGAGCTATTTTCAGGAACTTCAGAAAGGGCCAGCCGGAGTATGAGGTGGCCCATATCGTAGACTCTAGATAGCATCAGAACTGATTGCAGTACTTGATCAACTGGAAGGGATATTGCCCTGAGGACATGTCCTGGGAAAATGGTGAGGCTGTGCATGCCCCCTGTCTGGTCTGCTAATTCCACCTCCAGTACCCATGGAAACTGGTCCATGGGGATCGGGGGGGGGGGGAGGAGGACAGACCATGCTGGGGGTGGGGTGGGAAATAGTGTAATGGATGTCTCAGAAGCTGGTTCAGGCAATGAGGAAGAGCTGGTTTCAGGAACTTCAGAGTGGAACTCTGAGGAACATCTGGAAGGGGGACTCTGAATCAGGAGGGGATGGACAAGAGCAGGAGGAGAGACCAGGAAAGCTGGAGGACTGACCAGACAAGCAACTGAGAATTGGACTCATTGGCTTTTGTGCTGGTTCCTGTGTGAGGTGAATCCTGGGGAATACTATTTGGGGCGCGCAAAGCCTTCAATTAAGATTTCAAACTTTTGTGATGTCTGCGTGGGACAGGATAAATGTACTGCCAGTTAATTGTCTTTCTAATCTCCATTTCTAAAATCAATCCCCCAAGCACCTGGTCGACTCTATAGGCTTTTTAAAAATTCAGCATGTACACAGACTGAAATTACGGTTACATAATATAGCAATTAAATAAGTTTAAGACTGCAATCCTATACACTAATTTTTCTTGAACTTGAGGCTACTGAGATCTTACACAGGATTGCACTGTAAAACAGATGTTGTTCTTTGGAAAGTTAAAAGTTAAAATTCAGTGACATGGACACTGAATTGGAAGATGATACTGCTGCCACCACCACCGCTTTTCTCAAGATTTGCACAAAATGGGTCCAATCAGGTTTTTGCAAAATAGGAGTCCAAATGGCATCTCAATATCACTTTAAACCATTACTTTAACGTTTACATTATCCCATACAATCACCTAATCTGTATATAGGTCATATTGAGTTGATACAGTATTTCAGGTAACACATTCATTGTCTAAAGGGAGGGCAGGGAATAAAGGGGGAAGCACTTTTACTTCTTTAAAACCTTGTGGCAATTCTGAGGTATCTTTAAACCAAGGAATTACCCTTTCAAGCTAAAGACTAAAAACCTCCATCCTCCATTTTTCCACAACAGGAATTGTAATTTCCCTGAATCCTACAAGGATGTATTGATCTATTTAGTACCATGGTCATGGTGACTCTAAGTAGTTAAATATTGTTTGCATTATTGGGAAAGTATGGTTACAATTCATTCCCTCCCCTTCTTTCTCTCCTATAATTAAAAAAAAAGCAATGTCAAAGGAAAAAAAAATCATTCAAAACTCAAACTATTACTTTCCCATGAATTCAAGACATAATATTTAATGTATACATTCAGGCAATGGGCTAGTCTGTACATCAAAATGTCAGATGGTTTATTGCGACAGGAATGAGTTTCTGTGCAGAGTGGGGATATGTGCTGCTTCCCAGCCGTTGGATGGCCGTGAAGAAATAAAAAAAAAAATGCTGACTTCCATTTCATATTAATTGCTGTTTAGAATTAACAAATACTATCATGGGCATTGTCTTAACTGTGGTTTGTTCAAAAAGCCATCATAAATCATAGTTTGAAACTGTTTTTTTTTTCCACACAAGACATGGTTAAGATAAATCACAGAGAACTCAAGCAGCTAAGGAAGCATAGTCTTCCTTAACTCCATAGGGCTGTTCTGGAAAAGAGGGGAAGAAGCAAAGAACATATGCCCAAGAATAATTTAGTCTAAATTTAAAAATCATATGAGATCCTGATGCCCAAACAGTTTAGAAACCCATTAGCCATTAAACACATCTGAAATTTACTTGGAGTGACTGGTTTGCTTTGGTTTTTTGTTTTCAAAAGACCTCCGGTCCACAACAGTAGTTAAAAATTGAGGTTTGCTGCAGGATAATACATGAGATTATTCTCCTTGTGCTTGAATGAGGTAGACATCCCAAGAGGTAATAAAAGGCGGTGATACAACTCTTTTTAAGTCTTTTTTCTTTTTTGAACTGACGGTCCCTTCTGGCTTTGCTCTTCCGGTGATGGAGAAAACTTACTTGAAGCAGCTTCTTGAGGTGACTTTCCTGAATGCTGTAAGATATCTGGCCTTCCTTCCAGAGTATAAGATGGAGAAGTATAGCCATAGGCCCCTCCTCCTCCTTCCCTCAGGAAGGCTGATGTGGAGGGCTGGGTGTCAGCTTCATATCTTCCCTGGTAACTCGTAGGCTGCTGTGGAACAGTTTTAAGTGGACAGTTTGCCACCATGTGCATGATGCTCTGACAGTAATGGCACTTCTTTGGCTGTGGAGGTAGAATACATTCCTTAGCATGATGATCGAAGCCACCACAATTATAGCATCTGCAAAATACAAACAGGGAGATACACCCTTAATTGAATAGGCTCACAAGAGAAATGTTTGATCCTCAATTTAAAAAAAAAAAATAGCAAGGGGCCAGTGCCAAGGACACCAATAGCACCACATTGGAAACGTAAAGTCCTTGGTGCTGTCTGAGCTTGGTTGTTTGTTTGCAGAAGTTTCAATTGCCCCATTAGATAACTTCATCAGTGCAAATTTGGAATTGTTATATTACATGATGCTTTTTGACACTATTTTGGAAAAATCCTTTCTAATATTCCAGGGTTTTTCAAAGTAGTTGGCAAGACTGACTGCTTTGGAATAAGAACCAAGAAGCTTTAGTAAGTGTCTTACCTAGGCTGACAATGTCTTTTTTCCCCTAGCACTGTTAGAAAGGGGTTGTGTCATTTTCTTACTTTTGAAGTATAAATGAAAGGAAAAGAAGCAGTACAATGGAACTTCTTTGTTGTTTCTAAATGGCCATCAAAAGCCATTGGTAAAGACTTAATACCTAAGAAACTGACTGAATCAGCCTGGCAAACATCCATCTATATAGGCTTAGTCTATACATTCATGTCAACTACAACAGTGCTGTATTGGGAGATTGGACATTCTCTCCAGTCTACTTTAGTCCACCAGTATCAAGATAACAGTTGTAATATTTACATAAGTTTTCTTAAAACATGAACAATAGCCAATTTATGCTGGATTCTACTCAGAATACTCAATAAGGTTGTGAGATGTAAAATATGCAAAAAAAAAGTCCTGGATATGGTGCATAATAGTACTGATATCAGGAAATATTGCAAAGTTTATTGGAGACTATTATTATCAATTGTATTCCCTCTCAAAAGAGAACCATGAAGGATAACCATGGTAAGGGGGGGGGGAAATCAATTAAAAGAAATGCAGCAATTTGCTATCATTGTTGAATTCTGTTTCACAGAATCTTTTTTTTTAAATTAATAAGAACAACCCATAACCCAAAATTAAGGAGCTTGTGGTTGCCATCTCTTGGATTTTGAGATAACTTGAAGTTTATTTATTTATTTAAATTTATCTGTATCCCACCTTTATTATTTTTACAAATAAGGCCCCACTCAAGGTTGGGCTGAGAGATGTCACCTTTCATGGCTAAAACAGAACTTGAACTCACATCCTCTTGCTTTCTATCCTGGTGCCTTAACCACTAGATCAAACTGGTTCTCATTCTCATGCTTTTTATTCCTTCCCTTTTTGTTGGAACCACAAATACATCACAAATACATCATCATATCTTGTCTGGGTGATACTAAGATCTCATAGAATTTTTTTTTTTTCAAAAGGGAGGGAGAAACACTTTTGAGAACTTCCTGTGAAATGAATTTGATATCTCTAATACTTCTCAGGTTTGAGGTATATTATACCAAAATAATTTTTTGCAAACTAGTACTGTGAGAACATTACAGAGCTTAAGACAAAACTGTAAGGATTGTAGATGTTTTGAAAATATCTAAAACAAGATAAAGGAAATGATTTTCTTGTGAATCAGTTACCAAGAGAATTGCAATGCGAAGGACAGGTTGCTGTGATTCACTGAGCAATTATCTGTGCATTTACAGATATGGATTTGCATCTGTACAGAATCCCTTATCAGAGCTCATTACAGCTAAGAATGTTGGCAGGAAGACCCCTGCATTTCCAAAAAGGCTAAATCACAGCTGTGGGGCACTGCAAATGGCCATAAAGGGGGGGGGACGTGAATGTTGGTGCATCAAATCTAGATTTTAGGGCGCTTTTTCAAGGTCCTTTGTAATTTTGATCAGTCACTAAGTTGAGGACTGTGTGTACTATGTCTCAACTATCATGATAAAGAATTCTGTGTATGCAATGTAGAAAGAAAACATGTAGAAAAAAAGATAAAAGAAACGTACTTCGGATAAATATTTATTTTATGTGATTTCAGTTTTATCCATTTCAGAATAACCCACTAGAGGGCAGCAACCATCTGATCATTCCCCTCATCCTTGAAGTGCTTTAAAATGTTATTTCAAAAATTATTGACAGAGGGGAAAACCAAGTCATTTTAACAACAGTTTTAAAGATGAAGAAAGGGGCGTTGTCTTACCTGAACGCCTTTTCTCAGTACGGAGATGGAGAATCCACCAATGGGTTTTCTCTGTCTGCCTGCTCTTGAGACCAAGTAGCCAAACTTGACCCGCCCCCTCTAGCTAGGAGATCCAGTCTTGACGAGGGCGAAAGCGGCTGATGCTGGACGAGGTGTTGATTCTCAACCCCTTAATACCGGCCTAACTGACCTAAAGGTGGGTGTGGATTCTCCATCTCCGTACTGAGAAAAGTTCAGGTAAGACAAGGCCCTTTCTCCAGTACAGGAGATGGAGAATCCACCAATGGGACATACCAAAGCCTCCCTATCTCTATGGATGCGAAACAGATAAGGTCGGATCTACATCCCCAGAGACCACCTGCTGAAGGACCCTCCGACCAAAGGAGGCATCCACAGAAGCGAAGCAGTCAATCCTATAATGGCCTACGAATGGGGAGGGCGAGGACCATGTCGCCGCCCTGCAAATCTCCTCGATGGACGCCTGAGTGGCCCATGCCGCAGATGTCGCAGCGCTGTGAGTGGAATGGGCTGTGATATGACTTGGAGCCGGCAGGGAAGAAGACTGGTACACCTCTGCAATACAGGTCCTGATCCACCTGCCTATAGTGCCAGCGGACACCTTCTGTCCCAGGAAAGCTGGATGGAAGGAAATAAAGAGGGCCTCAGATCTGCGAAAAGGCTCCGTGCATTTGATATAACGCAGCAGGGCTCTGCAGATGTCCAGTGTGTGCAACTGCTGCTCCAAGTCATGGGAAGGATTGGGACAAAAATTTGGTAAAATGACTTCCTGTGCCCTATGGAAGAATGAGTTGACCTTGGGCATGAAGGCGGGATCCAACCGAAGGACCACCCGGTCTCGATGGAAGATGCAAAGGTCATTCCTGACCGAGAGAGCAGCCAGTTCAGAGATATGCCTGGCTGACATGATGGCAACCTTAAGAGACAAGGCCCACAATGGTATAATAGCAATGGGCTCAAAGGGTGGTTTTGTTAGAGTGCGAAGCACATGAGGCAGCTCCCAAGAGGGGTACCTGTGTACCACGGCAAGCCTAGTGTTGCATGCACCCTTGATGAAGGCACGTATTCTAGGATGATGAGCTAAAGGAACTGAATCCGCACAAGTGAGCAACGTTGATAGGGCTGCCACCTGCCTACGAATGGTCGCAGGGGCCAGGCCTCTGTCCAGCCCGTCCAGAAGGTAATCTATAATCTGAGGGATGGTTAATTTGTAGACATCCAGTTGTCGCCCTCTGCAAAAAATTTTCCAAGTAGAATCATAAATGCGATTAGTCGCCGAACGACGAGGCCTGAATCATGGTAATTGCCTGTGGTGAGAATAACTCTTGCATCATGATGCTGCGCTCAAGTGCCAAACGGTCAATTGCAACCACTGAGGGTCCGGGTTTTGGAGGACCCCTTGGTGCAAGGACACGCGATGCGGGGGAATCTTCCATGGAGGAGACTGGGAGAGATTCATCAGGTCGGCAAACCAGGGCCTCTGTGGCCAGTATGGGGCCACGAGGATCACTTCTGCCTGCTCTTGGAGCAGTTTGCGGATGGTCACCGGAATGAGCAAGAGGGGAGAGAAGGCATAAAGAAGACCTTGCGGCCACGGGGTCCGCAGGGCGTCCGTCCCCTCCACCCCTGGAAGGTAATAATGGGAGAAGTACCTGGGGAATTGGGCATTGTTCAACGATGCAAACAGGTCGAGTATCGGATGGCTGAACCTGTAGGATATCTCGGAAAAAAGGTCTGGCTGCAATCCCCATTCTGAGGGGTCTACCGTAGAGTGACTCAGAAAGTCTGCCTGCTGGTTCTTGACTCCCGAGATGTGTTCGGCCCTGAGAGAGGCCAGGTTGGACTCTGCCCAGGAACCTAGCAGCTGTGCCTCGGACATAAGGGACTTGGACCTGGTGCTCCCCTGCTGGTTCATGTGGGCCTTGGACGCCATGTTATCCATGAGGATCAATACATGACGGCCCCTGATCCAGTATCGGAATTGGCGAAGAGCTAAATGAATGGCTCTGAGCTCCAGCCAATTGATGTTGTGTCTCAAGTCTGCGCGGGACCAATGGCCCTGAGCAAACTGAGACTGTAGATGGGCTTCCCAACCGAATAGTCGTAATGGTGATGCAGTCCGGCTTCTTGAAAGGTGACCCCTTTATCACCGCTTGTGAGAACCACCAGCGTAGAGACCTAAGGATGTGGACCGGGAGCTTCACCTGGCAGTTGGATGCGCTGGCATTCACTCGTTGGAATGGTAGGAGGAACCATTGAAGATCCCGCAAGTGGAGTCTGGTCCAGGGGAATATGGCTATGCAGGAGACCATCTTTCCCAGAAGCTGGGAGAGTAAGACTAGTGGAACGGTACGGTCCTTGTACACCCGATGAGCCAGATCCCTGATGCTGACCAACCGCTCCTGAGAGAAATAGACCATGCAGTTTGTGGTGTCTATGATGGCCCCCAGGTACAGGAGCCTGGATGAGGGAACTGTCTGGCTTTTTTGGAAGTTGACTGAGAACCCATGCTGTTGGAGGACCTGAATAGTTAGTTCCAGGTCCGACTGGGCTGCCCGGAAGGAGGACACTTAAATCAAGATGTTGTCCAGGTAACACTGGACGCGTACTGGTACCTTCCGCAAGTGGGCGGCTAGTACAACCAGGATCTTGGTGAACACCCTGGGTGCCAAGGAGAGGCCAAATGGAAGGGCCTTGTATTGGAAATGACTGCCCCTGTAACAGAACTTGAGGAACCGCCGGTGAGCTGGATGGATGGGGATGTGGGGAGATACGCTTCTGTGAGGTCTATTGATGCCAGGAAGTCTCTTTGTCTGATGCCTCCCAGAATGGACTGGAGTGATTGCATTTTGAACTTCTTGTATGTGATGTAATAGT